CTCTAGGATAGTGTGGAGGGATTCTGCGGGACGTTGGCCGATTTGCAGCATATTGACAGTCGGTAGAGCTGGTCGGCGATCGGGTCAGCGAGAGGGTAGATGTCCCCAATCTAGTTTGCGAATTTGCCCCTTAGGGCATCCTGATGGATGGTGGCCGTATCCCCTGGAGTTTTCCGTGCGTCTTCCGATAGGTCGGAACCGGAGGATGGTTGGCACCGAACCAGAGTGGTTAGAGCTGATTCCGTGATGGAGAGGCAGTCGGTGAGCTTTTGTCCGACCTGATCGATGGATGCAATCAGATCATCATTGCCGATCTGCTTCCTCGGTAGCGGGGGAGCAAGCAGCGAGTTATTGGTGAAGACAACCTCGGAGGCAATTTAAGATCGGATCTGCTGTTGGAGGTGTTGGTGTGGTCGGCGCAAAATCGATCTGCATTGGCTCGATGATCTGTCCGTCTCCCTCATCATTGATAACCCAGGAGATCGATTTGACCATAAAGATCTGGCCGGGCTTTGGAGAGGATGAAGAGCCTATAAAACGTACCATCTTGTTCATCATAGAAATAACACGTACACCCCTACCTAACGCGCCAACTATCGATAGAATATCGTCAGCAGTCCTCCGAGGGGTATCCCACGAAGGTAGATTGATCGACAGCGATGCGCGTAATCAAGAACAAGAAGGCAATAGAGACACAAGAGTTAGATAGGTTCGGGTCGTCCGCACGACGTAATACCCTACTCCTGTGGTCTGTTGGTTTGTATTGGCTATCATATGATATTGCGTGTGTTTTGAGGGGGTCTCTTACCCACCTTATATAGCTAGGGGTAGGGTTACAAGTCGGTTAGATCTAGGAGATAACCGGTAAGTAATAACATGTTACAAGAATCACGGGATCGAGCACATCCTAACAGATCTCGTAGCATCTTCAGGATATCACCCTTGATGTCTTGCGGTACACGCCGAGCAGCATCGTGCACCGTAAGTCTTCGTCTTGTGGGCTGGACCACCTCTGGCGACGCAGCCCATATAGTCTGCCATGGGTATCCGGAGTCATACCCCCACAAGTATTTACAAGTTTTGACTCCCGTGCCAAGAGATATAAAAGGCTACGCTTGGAATAGTCACACTAGCAACAACTAAGGCCTTGTTTGGATTGTTCTAGATTGTGGAAACTAGCACGTGGAAGCTAGATTGTAAAATCTGAGTTTGGAGATGTTTGGAAGCATAGATTCTAAAGGCTGGGATTGGATAACTTTTAAATTAAAATGTCTATAATATCCTCCCTCTTTAGCATGGGGGGAGGCAAAAAATTGAAGGGCATAATCGTGTTTTCAAATCTAGAAGCTGAAAGAAGCTAAGATGCACTAGCTTGTGATGAGTTATGAACTCTTAAACTCTCCGAATTCTAGAATGTGTCCAAAAGCGTTGGGCCTCTTACAATCCCTAGCTGAATTTTGGAAGCTAGAATCCATAATCTGCTAGAAACCATACAATACCTAAAGAGCAACATCTAACCAACCCACCTGATAGAACTTTCTGCAGTATACAAATCCACCCATAGCTCAAAGTTTCGCAGTGAAGTATTCGCCTCATATAAAAAAAGAATAGCAAACGTGTTCGTTTGTTGTGACAGGATATACAATTTGCTACATGGTACTCATACCAATAATAATGAGCTAGCTATTTTTATTGAATTTAATCGGACTTGACCTAACTTTAAATTAAATAAGTTTGAAAGCCCATAATAAATGCTAGTGCAATAAAGAATTAATCTCGCATAAGAAATTAATAAAAGATTAACTCAAGCTAAATAGGTGGCTAGAAGGCAAGCCACACAACCGCACTCGTGCCACAACACACATAGGTTTATGTGGCAAGGCCATAATATATGAGTAAAGATCTTACATCTCTAAGCTCTAAACTCAAAACGAGAAGAGTGCGAGTAAGAGATGATGGACGGATGAGAGAGTGGATGGATATTGTGCCATTGTGTGCACATAGAAGACAAGCCACACGCCCACTACGCCACTATGCATGGGTTCGGGTGGCGAAGTCATATATAAGTAAAGATTTTGCAGCTTTAAACTCAAAATGAGAAGAGAGACCAAGTCATGATATAAGTAATGATTTTGTAGCTTCAAACTCAAAATGAGAAGAGAGGTAAAGTCATGATATAAGTAAAGATTTTGCGGTTTTAAACTCAAAATGAGAATGGTGACAGTAAGAGACGACGGACCGAGAGATGAATGGACAGGTGGGAGAATAAGATATGCAGTAAAGAAATTTATTCTTTTAAGGTGTAGATACACATGACTCAAATTTCTGTTTTGGCTAAAAAAAATGAAAGTGAAAGCAAAGAAAAGTTGTACTCCGCCGGTTCCTCTGTCTCAGAAAAAAAGAAGAGGAAAAAAAATAAAAATAAAGAGAGGTCAGCTGGCAGCAACACGCGGCAGCACGTTTCTGCTTCCACTGAGTTGGCTTGCCCCTCCTGGGGAAGGCGTCGTGGCGACCAAGGGATCATTGGAGCCTTGACTGCCGCTCCCAGCGTGCGCACGCGTCTGGCCGGCGTATCCTCCCTCGCCTGTTTGAACGCAACACGGACGGCCGCGCTCGCCGGGTTGCTGCCTCGCATCCATCGATCCACGGGCGGAGGCAGTCGGGCACGCCGTGGTGGTTGGTCTGAACCCGGCAAAGCCGAGCGCGCGAGCGGGGCAGGCGGGCACGAGCGCGCCTGCGGGCCTTGGCACGGGGCTGTCGGCCAGCGCGCGCACCAGCGGCAGCCGGCAGATACCACCAACGCCGCTGATGCCGTGCTGCGCCCCTCCGTTCCGCCTGCCCGCGCCCACGCGCGCTGTTGTACTCGCTTGTCTCCCAATCGACGCCGCGCCAGGCTTGCTCTCCCGAGTCCTGATGCCTGACAGACCAAAGTGTGATAAGAAGAAAAAAGAGAGAGCTCGAACGAGCCGTGACTTTCGCTGCGTGCATGATGCGGTTGGAGACCGGCGGCGGATAGGTAGAGTGAGGGGGAAGCCGCCCGCAGGTAGCGGCCGCCGGCTGGCTTTCCTTGTGCCGGACGCGACCGCCGCCAGCCCGCGCGGCGCCTTCCGTTCCACGGCTCCACCTCACAGCCGCTGCTTCTTCCGTAGTTCCGTTCCACGTATCACTCACGAGTCACGACCCTTCATCGGCTCGCACACGAGGCAAAAGATCCAAGCAGTCCGGTCATAGCGAGCGATCCGAATGGCCCCCGATCTGCGTAGAGAGGAACCGTTTAGATCTAAATTTTTTTTTTTTGGATTCTGGCTACCGTAGCACTTTTCGTTTGTATTTGGTAATTAATGTTTAATTATGAACTAATTAGGTTCAAAAGTTTCGTCTCACGATTTCTCACCCAACTGTACAATTAGTTTTTTTTTCGTCTACATTTAGTACTCCATACATGTGCCGCAAAATTCGATATGATGGATACTGCGTAAAATTTTTTGGAATCTAAACAGGGCCAGAATAGGGCTGGTTTTCGCGGCACGCACACGGTTTCGCTTTAAACAGTCGGCGGGAGTCCGGCTGGTTGACTATTCGTCCGCGGCGCACACGGTTTCACCAATTTGCTTGTTCGGTGTTCCTCCTCCGTTTCGTCTCATCGCTAGGGTCTCCTCCGTTTCCTACGGCAAGGAGCAGCGCGTGTCCTGAGCCAGCAGGGACACGACACATTGGTGTGTCGCAGGTTTACGACCTCCCGTTTCTTTTGTTATTTTCCTGGGCTGTAATGTAAGGCCTCGTTTAATTATTCTCCTAAAATTTACTCTCTATTATATCGAATGTTTCGATACATATATGAAATATTAAATATAGACTAAAAAAATAATTAATTACAAATTACAACTAATTTGCGAGACGAATTTTTTAAACCTAATTAGTTCATGATTTGACAATATAGTACTACAGTAAAAATATGCTAATAATAAATTAATTAGATTTAATAAATTTATTTTGTGGATTACGCCAGATTTCTATAATTTATTTTATTATTACTATTCAGACATTTTTATTGACACCCGACGTGACGTGATAATGTCTAGATTTAAAGCAAGAGTGGAAATAGCGCGCGGAACGGCTTTTACTGTGACGCCTGTCCCTGGGCCCTGGTACGTTAGCCCTCGTTAGTGTTCGTACGGCTCAGGGACTCGTTAGTGTATTTCTTGCGACTGTCGTTAGTGGTCGTACGGCTCAGGGACTCGTTAGTGTATTTCTTGCGACTGGCGGCCACGCCAAGCAAGGCAGCAAGCATCCCCACCCTCTCAGCCTCTCCCCCCAGAACAGTGGAACCAGTTCTTGTGCGGCCTTCTTCTCCTCTGCTCCGATAAGCAAGCTCTCGGAGCTCTCGCGCGAAACCTCCAACGCTCGCCGCTCTATTTTATTTTACCGTCGAGAAATACGCCGCCGCGCGCCTGTAGGCTGTAGCCGGTAAGAACCGCGTGTTCCTTCTGTCGTTCTTGTTTATGCTCTTCTTCAGCGCCTATTTCGTGCTCCGGAGCTTCTTGTGTTGGTCCACTATGTCTTTGAGATAGAAATACTAGCAGATATATGGGGCTACCTTCGGACACTGTCCTTCCAACTTCCATTATCGGATGGTCCAGTAGTCTCCTTTGTGGCTGTTTCTGATCTGTTATTCATTATTACTTCAAGAACAGATTTATGGCGCTGCAAATTAAATCTCCCTTCCCCAAAATCCGATTGTCATTTCAAGGGACATATCAAAATACTAGGAACCTGTAGTTGTTTGATCTGTCATCTCCTCCCCTTCTATTAACCAGGAGTATTTCTAGTTGCAGATTCTGTCTTTTCTTCCCTGCTTTTTTTTTTCTTTCCTTATAACCTTTTCGTGTTCCTATTAACGAATCGTACCTAGTACACATTTCAGATGTTCTTAGAATCATGTGTTCTTATCCATCCTGCAGGTCCAAAGCAGTCCTGAGAGTTTCTCCATTCCGGGAAGAATGGGCAGGCCAAGAGGAGGGAAGGCTAAACGGCCGCCGTCGTCCCAAGCTACCAAGAGCGAAGATGCCGATGCCGGCAGCGGCGGCGAAGAAGAGGAGGCCGTGATGCCAGCCTACAAGAGGAGGGGGCGGCGGCCGCAGAAGCACCACAAGGCTGATGACACCGACGACGACGACGAGGAGGACGCTGCTGCTGCCAAGGCCGAGCCCATGGAGCCGGACGCGAAACCGGTCATGGCCTCGCCGGATGAGAACGGAGGAGGGAAGAAGAGGCGGCGGCGGCGGCGGCAGCCGAAGCGCGGCGGCGACTCGGCGGCCGAGGAGAAGGACGAGGCCGTGAAGCTGAAGCAGAGCGGCGGATTCCGGCATCATGGGAGCCGCCGGAAGAGCACCCCGCGCCGAGCTGCCGAGGCAGGAGTGGAGTGCAAGTGAGGTCTCTGTTTAGATTGGCTGGCCGTGCGACTATGCGAGTCATGGCGGATTGCGTTTTCGATTTCTTTTTTCATTTTTGTCCTGCTTCCTGCTGCATTGATCAAGCTTCCAGGAGCATGAGCATGAGCATGCTATCTATATGAGTTGTTTCTGAGAATACGAATGGTAAGTTGCTGATTTGGCATGAGCATGAGCATCCCGTCACTCTGCTTCATTCCTTAATGCTGCTGAGGACTCTGCTTCGACCTTGGGCTATGCCATTTCTTGTTCATCAGAAACTAGATTCCGGCTGCCTGCATCATAAGAAAAAAAATGGAGGTTTTACTTAGTGGATGTATCTTCGTCGACCCGTTTCTTTTAGAATGTTAATCTTACCGTTGGATTTAATTAGACTTCTCCGTACTTAATTCAATTAAATCAAATAAATCACCAATGATGCACTTATGTCAATTGCACCACAATCACCAATGATGTGACATGCGAATACATGTTCGCTTAGCTTATGAGCCGTACTTGTTCAGCGAAGAAATAATATTTTTCTCTCATAACAGATCAGTGAACAATACTTTTCAGCTTCTCTTTTCAATGAAGCAAACAGGGCATCGCCTGTAAATAATCCTTTTCATGTTCTCCTGTCTTGATCTTCATATCTTATTCAATTAGAGTAGTGCCACTCAATTTGATCCCTCGCTTAGGGGCCATGTTGATGAGAGAACCCTACAAAATTACTGTTATTTGTTAGAACTTGTCGATAAAAGATGCTCGGCAGTTCACCGAGGGATATCCCACGATGGTAGATTTGTTGTAGAGGTGAGCGAGATCAGGAGCGAGATGGTAATATAAGCACCAAGACACAAGATTTAGACATGTTCGCCCGTCAGTATGACGTAATACCTACATCTTGTGTTCTGATGTATTGCATTGAGATGTATGGATCGTTGTAGCTTGTATACTCTGGAGGGACAGGGTTACAAGAAAAGTAGCCTATTTGGTACTATACAATAGCTTGCGGTGCATGCCGAGCAGCGCCGTGCACGCCTTGATCTTGTGGGCTGGGCCACCTCTGATGGTGCGGCCCATGTCTTGTCTTGTGGATACCGGGGGACATACCCCCACAGCTAGTCCCTAAGCCTGACAGTAGGTGATGTAGTCACGTGGTGCCAGGCTCAGAAAGTAAAAGATCAGCCGAGCAGGCAGCCAGTCCCCGGTGTAGCCTCGAATTGAGAAAAGCGCACATTCACCCCCAAGGTGAAGTGTGCCCACTTAGTCCCCGAGCCTGCTGGAAGATGAAGAATGAATCTTGTAGCAGGGTCAAAGAAAAAGAAGTTTGAAAGCTTTGTCGACATCATCCGATATGCGCGTATCAAGACCCCAGACGTGCTGCCCAAGATCAGCACCCTGATCCAAACAGCATGGAGCAACTTGATAGCACACCGATGAGACGTAGCAAGATCCGACCACCAAGGGAGCACCGAGGAGTCCCCGGCGTTGCTGACGATGTCCGAGAACCGAAGGGCGAGGAGTCCCCGGCGTCGCTGGCGATGTCCGAGCACCGAAGAGCGAGGAGTCTCCGGTGTCGCTGGCGATGTCCGAGAACTGAAGAGCGAGGAGTCCCCGGCGTCGCTAGTGATGTCCGAGCACCGAGGAGTCCCCGGCGTAGGCGGCGATGTCCGAGCACCGAGGAGTCCTCGGCGTAGGCGGCGATGTTCGAGCACCGAGGAGTCCCCGGCGAAGCTGGCGAGGTCCGAGCACCGAGGAGTGAGGTGTTCGGCGTCATTGGCGATGTCCGAAACATCGAGGAGCGAGAGTCTCCGGCGTCGCTGGCGATGTCCGAGCACCGAGGAGCGAGGTGTCCCCAGCGTCGCTGGCGATGTCTGAGCACCGAGGAGTCCCCGGCGTCGCTGGCGATGTCCGAGCACCGAAGAGCGAGGTGTCTCCGGTGTCGCTAGCGATGTACGAGCACCGAGGAGCCAGGAGTCCCCGGCATCGCTGGCGATGTTCGAGCACCGAAGAGCGAGGAGTCCCTGGCGTCGCTGGCGATGTCCGAGCACCGAAGAGCGAGGAGTCCCCGGCATCGCTGGCGATGTCAAGCACCGAGGTGCGAGGAGTCTCCGACGTCGCTGGCGATGTCCGCAAGGTGAAGTGGGGTGAAGTGTGCCCACTTAGTCCTCGAGCACAAAGAATCCGAGGGCCGAGGAGTAACCGACGTAACTGGCGATGAAGCACGAGCGACGAACAGTCTGGTCAACTAGTCGACGGCGAAGTGAACATTGAGTTGAAGCGACCGGCGAACAGTCCGATCAACTGGTCGGCGACGAAGTCGATGAACCTAGCGGTCCGACCAGTTGATCGGTGAGAAGTCCGAACACCAGGTGATCCAATCACCTGGACGATGATCCTGCAATACAAATATGTAGAATGGGTAGTATATGATGTAAAAATATATGAACTCCGGAGAAAAATCAGCAATGGCGATGAAATAGCATATGTAGCTCGGCGATTAGTTGGAGCGAAGATGTATTTATATTTAATATAAACCGCCCGACCAGTTAGTGTGTAGCTAAGTCTCTAGCCCTAGCTAGCCCATAGTCCATAACGTCGAGCGTGGAGCCCGTTCACGTGTAGGAGGAACAGGCGTGACCAAGGAGCCGCTGCCGACCACCCATAACGCAGAGCGCGGAGCCCGTAACACGTGTAGGGAGGAGCCGAAGACAGGGCTGTCTCTGGAGGCGTCCGAGCGTCAACATGACTGTTCGGGGGTTCATAAAACCGTTTGGAGAGCAAATATGGAGAAAACAGCTCGGAGAAACATTATAGCGATATACGGAGATTAGAGAATATTTAGAAAAATATTAAAGCATGACTTAGCTTTAGACAGAAAGTCTGGTCGGCGACGTATGGCGCTATCTGGTCAGCGTTGACGGCGAGCACCTGGCGGGCTATGAGTTGCTGGTGAAGATGATATCGGAGGTGGTTTCGAGATTGGATCTGCTGTCGCGGGGGCTGGTGTAGCCAGCGATGAATCGTCGTCGTGGACCGGCATGGATCTCCACGAGATTGATGACGAGAACGCGCTGTTGATTTGAGGTACATCTGGCTCGCCAAGAGATCAAGTGCACACCCCTACCTGGCGCGCCAACTATCGACAGAAGATGCTCGGCGGTCCACCGAGGGTTATCCCACGATGGTAGATTTGTTGTAGAGGTGAGCGAGATGGTAATACAAGCACCAAGACATAAGATTTAGACAGGTTCGGCCGTCAGTATGACGTAATACCTACATCCTATGTTTTGATGTATTGCATTGAGATGTATGGATTGTTGTAGCTTGTCCGCTAGGGGATCCCTGCCTCTTCTTATATACTCTGAAGGGGCAGGGTTACAAGAAAAGTAGCCTATTTGGTACTATACAATAGCTTACGGTGCACGCCGAGCAGCGCCGTGCATGCCTTGATCTTGTGGGTTGGGCCACCTCTGATGGTGCGGCCCATGTCTTGTCTTGTGGATACCGGGGACCATACCCCCACGGAACCCTAATATAGAAGAAAGAAATAAGTAAAGGTTATACTTTCTTGTAACAATACATTTTTCTGGAGGCAACTTGTATAGCTATTTAATTAAAGGGACATCTAACAACTGATGACCAAGAACATTGTCACATATCAAATTGAATGGTTACAAGGTGCATAGCAGTGTCATTGAGGGAAAATTGGTCTCTCACTATTTATTCGATTTTGTTTCAAATCCCATATATTTAATTGCATAAGCCTGTGTAAAATAAAAGGATAAGAAATTTGATTGTTTGGACTAGAGATCGCAATGAGACCCGATCTCCAATTCCCTCCTCTTAGAAGACGGAGATGTGGATCATTCTTCCCCCACTGGGATGAACATGGTACAATTCACATAAAATCCACTGTCCACCCAAAAATCTAAAACGCTAACATCCATCAAAAGGCTTCCATTGTCACTTCTCACTTTCTTGATGGTTGTTTCAAATTCATTGTGAATGCCCTTGACAAATGATTTGAATATTGCAAACACATCACTCTTGTCCACTAGAAAGAATACCCATGTGTATCTAGTGAAATCATCCACAATCACAAATCCATATGTGTTTCCACCAATGCTAGTGTATATGGTTGGTCCAAATAAGTCTATGTGCATCAACTCAAATGCCTTAGATGTGCTCATCATGCTCTTCTTAGGATGTGTGTTACCAACTTGCTTTTTGGCTTGACATGCACTATATAGCTTATTCTTTTTAAATGTGACATCTTTCAAGCCTCTAACTAAGTCATGCTTGATCAACTTGTTCAATTGTTTCATTTCAACATGACCAAGCCTTCTATGCCATAACCAACCCATGCTAGACTTAGTGATCAAACATGTTGATAATTGAGCTTCTCTAGCATTGAAATCAACTAAGTATAGATTCTTATATCTAAATCCTTTGAATATCAAGTTAGAGCCATCTACACTTATGATCTCTATATCATCCACACCAAATATGCACTTGAAACCAAGATCACATAATTGAGCTACCGACAATAGGTTGAAGTTTAAGCTCTCTACTAGTAGCACATTGGAAATGCTCAAGTCATTGGATATTGCAATTTTACCAAGCCCTTTGACCTTGCCTTTGCCATTGTCATCAAATGTGATACTATCAATCCCATTGCTCTTGTTTTCATTGATTGAATTGAACATTCTTGGATCACCGTCATGTGTTGTGTGCACCCACTATCAAGCACCCAATGCCTTTCTCCGGCTTTATAATTGACCTATAAAAGAAGATCAATTCTTTTTAGGTACCCAAACTTGCTTGGGTCCTTGAAGGTTAGTTACCAAGGTCTTTGGTACCCAAATGGCATTCTTCTTTGGGCCCACAATTGGTGTATCAATGAACTTAGCCTTCACACCATTGGCACCCTTAAAAAGCATGTAACAAGAATCAAATTTAATTGAGGATACATTAGGTAGCTTGTTCTTGTTAATCTT